CGCACGATATACCAGTAAGGCAGCATAGTGTAGTATTTTATAACAAAATATATAAAAAACATATAAGAACTCACATTAGAAGGTACTAATAAGAACTGTATATACTCGCCCTGCATGTTTAGCAATAGCCACTTGCTAATGACATCCCCTCCTCTACCTAATGCGTTTGGACTTCTTTGGGGTCAGATGAGGTGGCGCAACCATAGAAACCTATATTACATCTGTTATTATCTCTTACAGTACCAAATGGCTAACCCTTAGGTGCCCTATAATCTACATAATTTTCTGTCCTGCATATCTCTCCAGGTTCATATCAATTATATGTTTACAGAACAGGATCTCATAATAGCACTGAAAGGGAAGTATCACCTGCAGGGAATTCACAAGATGCAATGCTTTTACAATGGGAGTGGTGTCTAATGACACAGTTCCTTCTGATTGCTTGTATAAAAGTGTGAGAGGTCACTGGCTGCATAAATGGTCATGCAGGCCATCATGGTGGAGCCCATGAAACTGCACTAAAATCCAACAAATGGCACAATGGTTTTAACTCAAAATCAAAATGTCATTAAAGCAGAACTTCAGGAATTTCAAAAGTTAACCCTTGCAGTGGGGCTACCCCTGCACTCCAAGGGTTATCTGCTTGTTTTGTCTAGGGAGTGAAATTAAAGATATTCTCACCTGGCCCTTGATCCTGCCTGGCTGCTGGACCAGTATCCACAGCTCCTTTTCCCCTAGGCTCCATTGGTCTAAGGATCCGTGACATCATCACATCTATTCACTTGTGAGGACGCTGAGGGACATTCCAGCGGAGCGGAGGGAGAGAGAGGTGAGTAGTCACTGCCGCAGGATCGAGGATCAGCTGAGTATTTCTTCTCTATTATCACCCCTAGAGAAACACGAGCAGTTAACCCATGTGGTGTGGGAGTAGCCCCACTGCAAGGGTAACTTTTCAAAATCTTAAGAGTTCTTCTTTAATATTCACGTCAACCAAACAAGCACATTCCAGTTAACATAATCAAAACTCAATTTCAACGCTTCACTCTCCGTTTAGATCATATTGCCATTCAATGTAGTTTACTAAATGTGTTTATAGGAACAAAAAGTTGTCTTCAAAACATTATATTTTTTAGTTTATTAATATCTTCCTGGAGCTGAGACCTATACAAAAGTTCTCCTCACAACATTACATTACATGTATGGCAGTTAAGGTTACATTATTGGCAATGCTAAAATTATGAAATCATTTTCTCTGTCATGTGCTCAGCCACAAGGGATCTGCAATCATCTTTTTTTTTTCCTTTCTGTGATATTCTGTTACAAACAACATTTAAACAAGATGATACACCCCAGAGAAGACAGGCTGTGCATTTATAAATCACCCCCATATGTACATTTATACAGTATCTCAGCATCACCATAATGAAGCTTTGACAGCATGACACATTGTATAGGTTAACATTATGTACTCTTTCATGTCACTTAAGTAGAGCTTACCAAACTCTTTGCATTTTTTGGATTTTGGCCCAGCTTTGCATCTCTCATGCATATTTCTGAAAAGATATACTGTATGCTATTTTCATGGATGGTTAGGAGAAAATGTCGCTGGACTGATCTTGATTTTATTTTACCAACTAACTACGCTATCGAGCTTGAAGCTGTCACGGTCTGTCGAAAGCTGTACATTAAGAGACGTGTCAGTGACTAGGTACACCATTTAACTCTGGCTTAGGACAACAGGGGATAGGATAATAATTTAGACTGCCAGAAAAAAATACTTCCTTTTGCTTTAAGAAATAAAGACCATATTCCTTATCATCTACCTAAAACTTGTTTGATGGTGGCAATTGTGTGTGGCGTCAACAGAGTGCTGATGGCATGGGCACAAAAACTAAGAGTGGACTGTATGAAGCAACTTGTAGCAGGCTTTACTGGTTTGAAAAGCAGTGTTAACATCCCCTATATTTTTGTTTTTAAGAATGGGAGCCAAAAAAATTTAAAACACCATTTGTGGATATTTAGGCTGTCCAATTTATGTAATTTGCAACAATGATTCTATATGACTTATATTTTACAAATAATATCGTGCATTAGTCTTGAATTACATTCTGTGACAGAATCAGTGGCATCACACTGCTGCACACCAAACAGACAACTTTCTAGTGTTTTGGAGGCCACAGAATAAAAAAATTAAGAATTTGATAAATGAAGATGTTATTGGAGCACCGTACCTGGCAAAAGGCTAGTGTACACAGGCTTTTAAGATCAGCCAGACAGATCTTCTCAAATGCCCATGTACATTACATAAAAAAATCTGTAAAATTATACACAGTTGGCAACAGAGTTCAAAAATTGGATATGCTAACAAAAGTGCAAGAACCTTCTGGTGCATTCAAGCCCTTGGACTTTAGGCCTAGGCTGTACACTGGGCCTCAACTTCTCTCCAAACTGAAATGAAGTTCCACCTCTCTTTAGCAGTAAGTTCCGTGTTGGGAAGAGTGTAGGGGCAAGTGATAGCGAAGCTTAACCAGAATCTCTCACAACAGTTATGTTGGAGGTTCATTATTATAAAAGAAGAACTGGGCTACCCCCCACTACTGCAAGGGTTAACTGCTTGTTTTTGTCTAGGTGCTAAAAAAAGTTATACTCAACCAAACTGCTGAGTCGACTTTCTGCTTGTCCGATCAATGAAGCGCGTCTCCTACTCCACTGAACAGATGATATGTTCCTCAGCGTCCTCACGTCTATACACTTGTATAGAATGTGATGGCACAAGGATTCTTGGACCGCTGCAGAGGAGGCGAGAGAGACCCTAGGGACCGGTCTAACAAGACTTTTAGTACCTAGAAACAAAAGAGCAGCTAACCCTTTTATTTTTATTAGAGGTGCACCGAAATAGAAATTAAAAAATCAAAACGAAACCGAAGTAGAAAAAATTGTCAGGCCGAATCCGAAACCGATACCAAAAATGTTTTTATTTACATTTTTTACAATATTTTATTTTTTATAAACTTATACATTTTTTTATATTTATTTTTATTTATTTATTAATTTTTTATTAAATATTTTTATTTTTTACTTTACTTTTAGGGGCCTCGGGGAAATATTAGGGGTCTGAACAGACCCCTGATATTTCCCTTTTAAAATAGAAAAAGAGATTGAGAACACAGAGTCCTCAATCTCTTTTTCTGTATCCCCTGTTATCAATGAACCGGAATCCTCTAAGTGTTCCTTTTCATTGATAACTTTAGAATATAGTATGTTTACTATAACCACAATTATGAAGTCACAGAAATAGATATTTAGTCAGACATTGCACTAACCACCTATATTTTCATAACCTTACCTTGACTCTTCTGTGCAAAATGTCTAAATCGGACTGTGCAGTACATAAGTAACCAGAGCCCTCCATAATGTTACAGACCAGGTCAGACACACCCCCTCTCTTCCTTAGCGCAACAAGAATGGGTGACGACACTTGTGCTGAGGGATGTGGACATTATTCAACTATGCTCATTAAGCACTATGAATGAACACGAGTGGATATAGATCACTCCCATTCATTCATAATTGAGGATATAGTAACCATACCATATCCTCAATTATCTACAAACACTCAGCGATCACTGATCACTGAGTGTATGTAGCCTGCTCTCCTCTCTGACACACTGTCACAGGAGGCTGAGCGAGCGGTGCAAGAGGAGAGCCCAGCCTCCTGTGACAGCGCTGTCTCCGCACCCACACCGCTCTGCCGCAATGTGATAGGCGGCCGAGCGTTGTGGGAGGAGAGACACCTCACAGCGTTCTTGTCCCGCAGCGCTCGGCCGGCTGTCACTTTCTCTCCTCCCCGCTGGGACACAGAGCAGCGCCCAGCAGAGAGGAAAGAAATCACGGATGAACCGATATATCGGCAGGAAAATTGCACTTTTGGCATTATGCCAAAAGTGCCATTTTCGGCCGATATGTTTCGGCGGCCGATATATCAGTGCATCCTTAATTTTTTTTTTTTTTATATCTCATAGTCTGCTAAAGAGATCTAGTTTTGCAGACAACTAGGGCGCCATTCACTCCTAGGTAACCACATTTTCACACATTTTGTCGTATTTAGCGTATTCAGCATGTTTTGCACATTTTTGCACGCGTTAGACGAATCTACGTGAAGACTCGTGTTTTAGCGAGCAGATTGAAAGACATTGCGGTCAATAGACAAATACGCACATAAATGCAAAACGCTTGTGTTGCATGTTTCCAGGCGTTTCCATTAAAGTCTATGTGGCCAAACGCACTGTAATCAAACCAAAAAAAAAAAAGAAGCACTGTACTTTTTCCAGCATTCTACGTTTTACAGCTTGAGACAAAACGCTCAGGTGTGAATAGTGAATAGGGGCCATTGAAATGAATGGGAGTTTTGTCGAGCTTAGCTTTTAGCGTCTAAGTTGTGAACAGTGACTTAAAGCAATGTTTCTCCAGTCATGAAAAGTATAATAAAAGAAAACCAAAGTAAAAAACAATGAGGAATCAGTGGCACTGCAAGCTGGTTAAACATATATATATAGCAACTCTACATTATGAAAAGAAGCATGCCAGCAGAGTTAGAGTAGCATATGCTGTACACAGCAATCATTAACCAACTCTACTTGGTTGCTATAGCAACATCACAATGTTTCTTTGTTCTAGTGTTCATATATGAACCCTGATTTCATTTACCTAGCAGTACATTCACATTGTGAGTTCATTACTGTTATTACCGCATACTTCAACAGGGGACATTCAGTGAATACTGACCTTGAAAACATCAAAGCAGCATAGCAACTACCACATGTAATACGTTGTACAATGGCTACTTAACTTTATATACATATAATAGCAAAAAAAAAGAAACATATAGTTTATTTTTTAAAACTCCTTTTCTCTTCATAATCTTTGCATCTTCATTAAGCCATTTACAATGATCAAAGCTTGCACTTTATTGTAGACAATTTAATTTACTGACCTCTAGCTACACCAGTGAAAATTAAATTTAGAATTGAAAATCAGAGATGTAGGGTTTCCCGCCACGTGTAGAGAGAATGGGAAGGACAAGAGACACATCATGAGCCTCCTTGTGGTGAGCCAGTTAGCTGGTAGGACAAAGGGTTAGTGTGTGGAGTGCACCGTGGTACCAGGAAAGGGCAAGTGGGATACAGAGTGAGGACGTGGCTGATTGGTATCAATTACCTGGGCATGCAGTGAAGCGGGATAGGTAAAAGCAGGAGGAGGTAGAGCAGGTGCTAATTCCGCTGGGTAGAGGGGGTACGGCGCCCACACTTCAGGGCTACCCGGGTAAAGTGCAGGCATTGTGAGTTCATCTGCAAGAAAAGAATAAGGACACCATGTTAGTAATAACAATGTTGGAGAACCACAGTGAGAAGAACTGGTGGCAAGATCTATTGCATGCTTTGTGCCTACAGTGTTTACATTTGAAGCCCAGCTGAAGTCACAGAAATAGATATTTAGTCAGACATTGCACCAACCACCTATATTTTCATAACCTTACCTTATCTCTTCTGTGCAAAATGTCTAAATCGGACTGTGCAGTACATAAGGAACCAGAGCCCTCCATAATGTTACAGACCTGGTCAGACACACCCCCTCTCTTCCTTAGCGCAACAAGAATGTGTGACGACACTTGTGCTGAGGGATGTGGGCATTACTCAACTATGCTCATTAAGCACTAAAGTGGGAGCAGGAGGCAGAAACACAATTATTTAAGGCACCTGGAAATTAGTGAAAACACGTAACATTTGGTAGTACAGGAAAAAAAAAATGTTTGAGATGACATCTTGAAGTTTGGCAAGATGTACATTTATATGCCAAATTTTTTTTTTTATAGTGCTGGTCTTGAGATAAGCATAGAATGTATCTTATATCTACACCTTTATTTATTAATAAAATAGCACACATAGCAGTGTGCAGTTTTCCACAGCAACCAATCAAAAATGATCTGATTCCACATAATGCCAATTTTGTTTTATTAAAGGCTATACAATACTGTTGTTTTTTGCAGGATGGTATTACAGAGAGCCCGGAGTGTATACAGAAGTGCACAAGCAATACCGATTTTCCTACAAAAGCTCAAGAATTGTGAGTTTTAATTACTTGCAGAAAAAAAGCAAAACCAGAGATGCTACACCCCTCCAAAAGCACTCTGATTTGTGAACATATGGGCTAATTAAGTAGCAGTGCAAAACATTACTAATAACCTAAACATTTAGCAAATTAGAGATTCTAATTTCAATCAGTCATGGGTGAGCGCTGGTAGGCCAAAACATCTGCTGCTCTTTTCCAATGGTGAGAATTTCCCAATGCAGCATGTTCCTGCTTTTCCACAAGGTCATAAAAAAGCTGTGCCTTACTCACAAGCAAACACCATTATTATCAGTTTATTTAACAATAGTGTGGAACTCAAGACACACTGCAAAACACACATATGTAGGCTCTTATATGCCAAAGAATTTCTAATTGCATCCAGACACTTTTGCAACAGACAGCACAAACACGAGAGTTACACCACTTTCAATGTCAGAGTTAAGGCCTGCCGATTGGACAGTGAAGGAGCAGCAACACACTGATAAGTCATCCCTTTGCTCATTCTTCTCTCTCCTCCTCCCAGAATGTTCCCTGACAACACATGTGCTTGTAGAAGAGCCTGACTGGCTCCTAGTGCTGCCTGTCCCTCACCTAATCTGAGTGTTGCTGTGCTGGGGTTGTTAGGAGGTTGGTATTAAGACAGTTTCAGGTACTTATGCTGGTTGTACATAACAAATACATACAAATAATTTGTAGTTCTATTCAGCCACTTGTGTTGCAAGCACTCAGTGCCACCCTGGCCTGCATAGCCAGATATGTGACAACCCTATGTAGTGGCTGAGCTTCACACCCCTTCACACCCAGTCTGCACAATGGGCACTGAATGAGCGACATATCATTACTTATTCATTGCCAAGTGGGCAGACAGGTGACACAGGAAACTGTCAAGTTGAATCAAGACATAATGGAGCTATCTTCCTGGTTATGGAGTGTTGCAGGGAAGAGAAAGCACATGCCTTGCTGAACAGTATGCAAATCTTTTGACAGGTAAGGCATGATTATTTTGTGCTTTTCAGATGTGATTCACTCAAATCCCATAATCAATAATTGATATTGCAAAACTTTTTTTTTGGGATAGATTAGGGTAAAACTACTGTCAGGTTTTATTGCCATCTGTGTCTTAGAATGATTTCCCTTCACTTCCTGTGCAGTAGTCTCAACAGGAAGTGAGAGGATATCTTTCCGATGTGAGGGAAATCACCTCTTAGACCATTCTCATGGGAACAAGTGTTCCCATTGGAAGACCCTCCTCTATTCCTGTTCTGGTGTCAACCAACTAATTTTGGGTTTCTTCTCACTTTGCTGGTGATATTGGTGATTAGTACAATTAAAGAAAGTGCCCCTAACAGGAGCACACACAGCAATAAAAACCAGACAGTGCTTCTAACTCCTCACCACTTTATCCAATGCTTTAGTCATACTTTAAGTTTCCACCGAGACAGAAAATAGGTAATTTTAAGCAAAAAAATTAACTCAAATCATAATTGCAAATTCTGTTAATGGAACAGATGTAATTATATGAGATGTAATGTTGTAATCAAATGCTTCAGACGGGTTCCAGATAAATTATTGAATTTTCTTGTCGTCCAAACTTGATAAGTATCACACCTTGAATTCCAAAGAGGAAGGCCACACACAAAGACACACACATATACATAATCAGAACAGGTATGGGGTATAGGCAGTGGCTACAGTAGAACCAGTGACTGAGCTTTTTTTAATACCAAAGAGAAAACAATGCATTTTGTACCAAAAATAGTAGCACTAAATTACACAAGAAGAGGGAAAGGCTAGAAGAGATATTGATGAAGGGGAAAGTGTGTGTATAGGTGTATGCATACAGTATATGGTCGGGAAATAGGAGCAAGAGTAAGGGCATAGGAAATGAACACACAGCAGTGATGATGCCCAAAGTGCAGTAACCTATGAACCAATCACATTTCACCGTTCATAAATTTAGATCAGTAAAACTACTGAAATATTATTTCTGTGATTATTAGCGTTAACACTAGAGCAGATAACCATAATAGTTCAACCCACTGAGATTTTCTAAAATATCCTGCTCAAAATGTTCTCAGCGACCAAAACAGTGGGGGATGGAGCTCTAGCATGTCTTCCAAGATCTGGGAAACAAAACAAGCACACATGTAAACCCAGAGGCCATTTCTTCAATTCTCATGGCATTTGTTTTAAGAAAAACTGCTACTGCTGAGCATGTCCCAGGATCCCCTGGGGGCGGTATTCCCATGCTAATATACAATATATTAGATGGGAAGGAAAAATAAACAAGCAACTTCCTGTTGTTTGGTTTCCCGTAACTAACAGAAATTGCAATTATTAAAGCAATTAAGATCAAGGCTTCTTAGTAGGAAGGCAGAAATACAACTACGCAATCTTGCATCCTGTGGAATGTATTGTGAGATTTCAGAAGACATGCATTACTTTTACTACTGGGAAAGAAACAGCCGCTGGATCATTACTGGTGATTACAAGACACAAATGTCATTATCACTACCATGGAAAGCAGGTGCAAAGGAAAGCCATTTGTTGTCCATGTAGAATGCTGTTGCTGATAAAGGGGAAATTAAAGGAGAACTATGAGGCGAGTGCTTTTCACTCACCTCATAGTTCTAGCCGACCTGTGACAATGAGACTGTCACAGGACGGCTCAGTAGATCGGGAAGTGAGCGAACACATACCGGCGTTCGCTCACTTCTCGATCCTGTCACGGCAGAGAGCCGTGACAGAGGAGGGACTGGATTCCCCCCGCTCCGATCCTCCAGCGCTGACTGGCGGAACGGACGGGGGAGGGGGCGGTACAGCTGGCTCTGCCTCTAGATAGGCAGAGCCAGCTGTCACTCACGCAGCTGTGCGGATCCAGACATCATTGTCGGGATCCGTTTCAGCTGCGACGTCTCAGTATACCGCGAGCTGTAGCTCATGGAATGCAGAGCTTAGGGTGACAGGAGGACGCTAGTTTGTGTTCTCCCATTACCCTTAGGAGAATTATGGGGAGAAGCCCTAACCCCATAGTTCTCCTTTGAAGCAGAACTATGGCCTTTCATTATAAAATATTGACTGCAGCACATAAGTATGAGTGGATTTGCACTTACAGTTTTCTCTTAGTCAGCCTGCAAAGTCTAAGAAATATTTGTTGATCCTGCCATTGAAGTCCACCTAATGCAGCTTCCTGTGATGGTGTGGCAACAATGCTACACTGCGCCTAACCTGATAGAGTTGCCACTTTCATGTAGGCTGTACCGGAAGGCACTACAGTGGGATGAACAAATGCTATCAGCATTTTTACTGGAAGTCTGTAGCTTGCAATCCATTAAAAGTATGACATAACATGATATCTGCCTCCTTAAACATAATCCTATGTACAGCCTAATATACCAAACATGTTTATTCAAAGACTAAACATCTGACTGTCCTACTAAAAAAATGGTGAACTGCATTTAAACAAATTTGTCAAACTAGAGGGAGAGGTTGAATTACAACTAGCTAATTCACTCACTGTCATGGTGTCTTACTTACTATGAAAACCTTTTGTTAAAGAAGTCCTTTTTAGCAAATGTGGCATATTTCTATGAAATGGCTAAAACAGTCAGGAAATTGTTATCAATGGATGAACTGGAAAAAGAAGTGAACTAACAGACTTCCCTGGTGAACAAAACCACTTAACTTGCATTCATAAATGGGACAAACACAGAATACACCATAAAATAACCACACAAGTTTTATGTATAGTTCTCCCCTTACATTCATGGATTAGCCCATATACAGCTACATTTGCAAAACTGCTTGTACATGTGATGTTCACCATGAAATGTGTTAAAAGCTACAGAGTTCATGGTGTAAAATGTTGACGTCAGAGAACTGGCTGGACCCCAGAACAAAACCACATCTGAAAACATAACAGAAGAGACTTGCCAAGCTGCTCACATCACTGTACAATGATTCACATGAGAGTCATTATTTCTATGCAAATACAGCATGATTTAAGCAAATTACATGGAACTGAGGTATACTGCAAAACAAATAACGCTGCATAGGCAACCTAGTTTAGGTGACCATGTGGAGCCACAGCATTTACACTTAAACCTGTCTTCAAGAGTGATATTTCATTTTTTTGGGTAGCTGTCAACAGGCTGAATGAACCACCACAGTCTAGTCATAACTGAAATATCATTTCTGACTGGATTAACATGTTACAGTG